AGTGTCAGTCTCCCTGGAATACCCTGCTTCTACCAGTCAAAAGGCCAGGAGGAGGGCACCAGCCTGTTCAAGACCTGTGAGCCATTAATAGAGTGACTGTTTCTTTACACCCAGTGGTCCCAAACCCACACACCGACCTCAGCCAGATCCCAGAGCCTGCCAAATAGTTCACTCGCACAGACATAAAGATGCCTTTCTCCATCTCTAGCTGGTTCCCTAACGCCAGCTCTTATTTGCTTTTGAATGGACTGGACTGGATACAGGGTGGCAGATGCAGTTAACATGGATGCGGCTTCCACAAGAGTTCAAGAACTCACCCACTCTCTTTAGAGAGGCATTGGCTGCACACCTTTCCAGCTTTCTGAGAGATGCCACATGCTGAGTCCTCCTGTGGTAGGTAGATGACCTCCTCCTTGCTAGTAACACCCAGGAAAACTGTGCAAAAGGCACAAAGGCCCTCCTGCAACTCCTGTCAGACTCAGGATACCGAGCCTCATAAAGAAAAGGGCACAAACCTGCAACAGCAAGTCCAGTACTCAGGCTTCCTCCTCACCAAGGGAGAAAGGGCACCAAGGCCAGAGAAGAAAAAGGTCGTTAACTCCTTGCCCCAGCCCAAAATGAGGTGGGGCATGTGAAAGTTCCTAGGGGCCACCAGGTTCTGCAAAAATCTGGATTCCTCGATTCTCAGCAATGGCAAGGCCCCTCTGCAACCTCCTTGGGGGCCAGACTGAAAGCCTCTGCCTGGACAAAAGAGGCAAGAGCCACCTTCCTGGAAATACAAACTGCTTCAGAACAGGTACCATCCCTAGGCCTGCCAGATATGAAAAGGCCCTTCAATCTCTTCGCTACATAATAAAGGTAGCAATTCTGCATTGCAAAGAATATCAAAAGGAAAACAACCCTACAGCACAGGGAAATGGGATGGCAGATGAAGCTGCCAAAGCAGCAGCCAGTAAGGAGGCAGGGAGAGCTCCTTCCCTCACCATGGCCCTAACACCCTGGTAGAGGCCCCTCCACCCAGGTACACTGAAAAGGAGAAAGACTGGAGCCACTTTAACTGACAACGGATGGTGGATGTTGCGGGACAGACATATCTTTGTCCCGACTGCAACTGGGAGGCAACTAGTCAGCAAATACCACCTCACCCTCCTGGGAAAAACTGCACTGAAGACCCCCTCAAACCTCAGAAAACCGGCCCCACATTATTGTTCTAACTACTCCTACTGCCCTCAAGGTTGCAGGCATCACTCCAAGAGTCTGTCATTCCTGAGTAAAAAGAGCCTGTCATCCTGACAAGGAAGCACATCAGCAGGAGGCCCGGCCAGACCTCCAGATCCTCTCCACCTCTGCATCGGACTATTGCCCTCTGACTAATAGACACCTGCGTGCCATAGATCCTGGCTCTCGTTGGAGTAGTGTCTTTTATTCTGGGCATTGGACTCTGTGCTGCTGCATCCCTGGACTGGACTATTCCTCAAAAAAGTTGCCCTTTCTATTGTCTATCGGGTAATCGTTAAGTTGTTTTACTGTGCTTACCTGTCTCTGCTAGCTGGACCCAAGTCTCAGCCTGCATTTCCAAAGTACCTCTCTGTAATGTTTAACTGTACAAAAGTTATAAAGTGCATAGTGGGCTAAAGGGAGCTACCTCCTTTTCCCCAGTGATATTTCCTAGGCAGAACAAGCTGTCCCTTTACTGATCCCTGTTCTGGTCAGGCTCAGTAGAGCTGGATCAGCTGCAACAGACACAGCAGCTGTAATAAAGAGACTTAGGGCCTGATGCCCTAACAGAGAAAGCTGATCAAGCTTTAGAGCAGCTTGAAACCACCATGATTCAGCTGCAAGATCAGATTAATTCCCTGGCTGAAGTGGTGTTGCAAAGTCATAGAGTACTGGACCTCCTGTTCTTGTCACAGGGAGGCTTATGTATAGCCCTTAAAGAAGATTGTTGTTTTTATGCAAATAAGTCTGGCATAGTTAAGAGTTATCTAGACAAAGTAAAAGAAAACATCCAGTGTAGGAATAAAATGTTAGAAAATAAAAAGTCTTAGTTCCAGGGATGGTTTGAATAGAATCCATGGCTAACAACTCTTCTAACTGGCCTTGCTGGGCCAGCGATTCTGCTGTTCCTTAAACTATTAGTAGAACCCTGTATATTTAACTGGCTCATTAACTTTATCGAGGAACGCGTTTCCTCCATACAGCTCCTATATATGCAGAGCCACTATGACCCTGTCATAAGCCAAGGAGACGATGCCCCCTAAACGAAGTGTTTGAAGGGGCATCAGAGGGGGGAGTGATAGGGAAAATTTACAAGGACAGCAACCTAGCTGGTGGCTCCACTTGGTCTCCCACCCCTCCCTCCTCAACACAAACAACACTACAAGGACAGTAATTTACGAGGTGGCTCCCCTCTGCCTCGCCCCCCTCCTCAACCCAAACAAAAAAAAAGAACAGTCCCCTGGTTTCCCCGTGCGCAGTGTCCCAAGGTTCGCTCCCTTAACTCCCTCCCCCTTGCCTGCTCACTTGCTGTTTATGTAGGAATGTTACAGATAAGGAAGCAGAAAGGTATAAATTGCTCCCTTTTCCTTTGTTCGGGACTCAGACTTTTTGGGAGATTACTCCCCTCTGAGCCTGCCGAGGTGAAATAAAGCCTCAACACTCCAAGACCTCCGAGTGCTGCTTGGTGTTTTCTGTCGGCGATCCAGTCCAGGCTTTTTCTATTTTCCATAACACCAGAGGTTCAGCAGCAAGAGGCTGTCTCTATGGCCTCAAAGGAGGACACTTACATGGGAAAGGAGTTTTTTCATGATAAAAATTTCTTGTACAATAGAGGTAATAACCTTGGACTGGATCCTTTTAGATTTTCCTGGCCTAATGAATATTTAAACTCCCAGAGTCAATAGGCTTCCTTTCCCCTTCTCTCTACTTTTCTCTCCCCTGCCCTCTATCCCCTTCCTTCTTATTCTTCCTCAGACCCTTTCTTAAACCTCTCTTTGAAACACTAACGATGAGAAAAGCTCCCTTGCTGGGCCCTGACTCTTCCAAAGGAGCCTCCCAACTTGGGGTTCTTTGGTCTTGCTCGCTGCTTAGGTCCCCATTACTTTCTTTGTGAAAGGGTCAACCCAGGCTGCCACCAAGTCATCAATCCAATAGAAGTTTTCTTTTAAATATTGTCAAAGATTGTACCATTTTTTCCATGAGTCGATGAATACAAAGGGGGTTAACAGTTTCAACGGAGATAAACATAAGCTGCTAACTAAAGCTCACATTCACTGATGAATTAATTTATTTGCACCTTCCCATTTATTCTTAGTAGAGCCCATATACTGGGTTTTCTGCAAGGACTCCATCTGCAGGCATTCTTGCACCAATAGAAGGGATGAGACCCTCACATAAGTTGTTCCAGTACAAAGAAGGACGTGGTCAGTGCCCTGAAAAATGCATAGACATGGTGCTAGGTGTTCTGCATGAATTTGTAAGGCTTTATAGCAAAGTTGGGCAACCTAGGCAAATACTTGCTTTTCTCTGAATTATTCAGCATAGCATTGAGAGCTCACTGGGTAATTGCACAAGTCCTTCTTAGATTTTATGTTCCAGGCTTAGCCTTGGGAGGCTAGCACATCTCAGTGCCTGGTGTGCAAGACAAACTAGAAAAATAGGAGTCCCTAAATCTGGATTATGTGAGTTACTAAAAAATGCTCAAGGTAACCCTTGACACATAGTAACGAGTACATTGAAAAAAATATATTATCTTTCTTCCAGAACAGGTGCTGCTTAGATGATAGGGTATCCCTTATGGCCCCAGGTGGGCATGGAAGCAGACTATTAATAGATGTTTGGCTTAATTATGATGCATTTAGAACATTCTTGGAACCTCAACCTCTAACTTTTAACCACCAACACACTCATACAAATCCATCTCTTAAAAACATTAGTAAATTGAACTCTCAAGTTGTTTCTCATTCCAAGTTTATGTGGTAAGGTTATTAATTTCTAGAAGACATATTTGTTTCCCCCAAACTACTCTTGCATTAATGATATAGTATTGAAGGGAGATTTGGGTGGCTTGCCTGAAATTTTACCTGTCTTTCCCTTAATACATATTATTCTCATATATATGTCAGATAGAGGAAGATATTTCCAATGACTTAAGTCAGCTGTTATTATGCTGGTCACCCATTAGAACCACCTGGGAAGCTTTTGGAAAAACAAACAAACAAAATGCCACTACAAATGACTAGCTCATCTCCAAAAGTTAAGTTTCAATTATTCTAAGGGTCATTTTCTAATCTCTTCAGAATCAGATGATTCTGGATGAACGTGCAGCTAGAGTCCAGACACCGACTGAGGTCCCAAAGGCATAATGAACAGATTGTAAACACATACTCCACACGTTCTTTTCCTCTCATTGTCTCTCTGTGTAAAACCTCTGAAATCTACATTCTCAAACTTAACCTCTGTCCCCCCCAAAACAAGACCCTGAATGGAAAAAGTATATCTTACAATAAAATGACCCAGTCTATGAAAAATAGGTCACTGTATATATAAGACATTATATATATATATATACAATATAAGATTCTCTACGGCCAGAAACAAGGCCTTGAGTAAAGTAGATTCCTCAATGCAACATTACTCAGAAATTTTAAATTATCATTATGAAGAATTTATAGCAATGTGGAAAAATATACTCTAATAGAAAAAATGAATATAAACCTAGTTGTACTGTATGAACATAACTATGGAAGTTGAACCAAAATTATATACAGACACAAAAAAAGAATGGAAAGAAATGCCCCCAAAATGTCAATAGAGGCTATCTTAGTGGTGGTTTTTGCTTTCTTCTACTTTTTTGTGCTTTCCTACTATTTTTTAAACTATCAAGTATATGGTAGAAAAAAAACTTATAGTAGAAAAAAAATTATTCTTCTGACTATGAAGTGATAAACAAGGTGTAATTCTCAACAGTGAATTAAAAAAGCAAAGACAAAAGTGCTCACCTGCTGGTTTCTTTATTGCAGCTCTTTGGCTTCAGTCTCCTCTATCTCTCCTGCCTTCCTCCTTCAAGTAATTCAGCTTACCCAATTAAAAGAAAAGTGAAACAGCAAATTATATTTTACGAACAGTGTCAGCTAATAGAAAGAGAAAAGGGAACTTGGGCCACTGAGTCATCTGTGCCTTATAGAAGTCAGTGTGGGTGTTGATATGGCATCCTTCTCGAGCAGAAGGGGAGGAGATTTCCATTTAAGGACGACATCTAAAAGGAAAAAACCTGGATTAGCCCTGCCCCACTAATGACTTTTTCCCAGCATCTTTCACAACAAATCAAATGGACTAGAGTCAGGGGTTTTAAGTGGCTTTAAGTTCTCTTAAACGGTTATTTCCATGACAACAGTAATATCAACACTACCTTACCTGTATAGCATTTTAGAGCTGTTTAGAGCACTTCCCATCACCCACTTGCTTTTTCAAGTCACTCACACAGATGGAAACAATTACTGACCCATTGCACTGAAATGCTTGCACCAATGAACCAGTGACCTCATTGCTCATGTAAATGGTTCTTTCTCAGTGCTCCTCTTCTTCCCTCAGTTTACCTTCTTCCCCCAATTAAGCTGCACAGTTTACCAATGCTGCTTTCTTGAGACTTCCACCTTCTTGTTTCTTCTACCCTTCTGGTTATTTTTCTACCCTTTGGGTTACTTTCTCTTTGCCTCCCTTTCGATGCCCTTTTTTCCACCCTTTTCTAAGTGTGAGTGTGCCCTAAAAGTCTCCTTTGACTTCTTCCTGTTCTTTTGCTCTTACCAACATTATCCACATCCATAGCCAAATTTAATATGGCCAAAACAGAGCTTTTCTCTTCCCCCGTGAAGTGTACACTTCTCCATCTACCTCATCTAATCAAATGGCACCACAACCACTCAGCCAGTTAATCTGTGTAACCTAGACATCATGCTTAACTCCTGTTTGTCTTCCACAACCAACATCCTAGCCAACCAATTCCATTTGTTCTATCTGAAAAATATGTCCCAAATCCAACCATATCTCACTTCCACCATCCCCAGTAAAATCCTCATCATCCCTTCAATAGAATGCTGCAGTAATATTAGGCAAGAAATTGGAAAGAAAGAGGTAAAATCAAGTTTGTTTGCAGACAGTAAAATCTTATACACAGAAAACCCTAAAGATTCCACAAGAAGAAAACCTGTCAGCATTAATAAAAAGTTTTGCAACATTGCAAAATACAAAATAAACACACAATCAGTTGCATTTCTTTACACTAACAGTGAAGAACCCAGAAAGGAAATTAGGTAAAGAATTCCAAGTACAATAACATCAAAAAGAATAAAACACTTAGGAATTAACTAAGGGAGTAAAAGATGTATACACTTAATACTACGAATATTGCTGAAAGAAATTAAATAAATGGAAAGTTATCTCATGTTCATGGACTGGAAGACTTAATGTTATTAAGATGTCGATATTACCCAAACTAATCTACAGAGTCAATACAATCCCATTCCAATGATATTTTATTTCTGAAACAGAAAAATCCATCCCAAAATTCATATGGAATCTAAAGGGATACCCAAATAGCCAAAACAATCTTGAAAAAGAAGAATGGAGTTGTATGATGGATACTTTCTGATTTCAAAATATTATAAAACATCAATAAGGTAGTCTTGGCATAAAGACAGATATATAACCTAATGGAGTAGAATAGAAAACTCCAAAGTAAATCCTCACATATATGATAAAATAACTTTTGACAAGAGTGCCAAGATCATTTATAGGAAAAGAATGTTTACAACAAATGGTTTCTAGGAAAACTGGATATCCACATGAAAAGAAATGACATTTGACCCTTACCTAACACTATGTACAAAAATTTGCTCAAAATGGATCAAAGACCTAAACATGAGAGCTAAACCTATAAAACTCTTAGAAGAAACATATGGGGAAAACTTCAAGGATTTGGCATTGATTTCTTGGTTATGAAGGTACAGACTTTAAAAGAAAAAATAGACAAGACTTCATCAAAATTAGAAACCATTATGCATCAAAGGACACTATCAACAGAGTGAAAAAGTAATCCACAGAATAGAAGAAAATACCTGCAAATCATATGTCTGATAAGCAATTAATATCCAGCATACAAATAAAACTCTGGGTATCAATCACTTATCAGATATACTATTTGCAGGTATTTTCTTCTATTCTGTAGATTACTTTTTTACTCTGTTGATAATTAAAAATTCCAATAATAAAAACAAACAACCCAGTTAAAAAATGAGTAACATACTTGAAGACTGTTCTCAAAAGAAAATCAGTAAATGGCCATTAAGCATGTAAAGACATTCAACATCACTAATCATTTGGGAAATGCAAATCAAAACCACAATGAACTATCACTTCATACCCATTAGAATGACAATTGAAAAAATAGAAAATAATGAACATTGGCAAGGATGTGGAGAAACTGGACCTTGTACATTCTTGGTAAGAATGTAAAATGGTACAGCCATTGTGGAGAACAATATGGTGTGGTTTCTCAAAAAACTAAAAATAGAACTACCATTTGATCCAGAAGTTCCACTCTTGAGTATATACCCCAAAGAATTGAAATCAGAGTCTTGAAGAAATATTTCTACACCCAAGTTCATTGTAGAATTATTCATAATATCCAAAAGATGGAAGCAGTCTAAGTATCCATTGATGGATGAATAGATAAAGAAAATGAGGCATATATACGCAATGGAATATTATTCAGCCTTAAAAAGGAAGAAAATTCTGACACATGCTACAACATGGATGAACCTTGAGGACATTATGCTAAGTTAAGTAAGCCAGTCACAATAAGGCAAATACTTTTTTTTGTATGATTCCACTTACATGATATATTTTTTTAAATAGTCAAGTTCATAGGGACTGAAAGTAGAAGGGTGGTTGCCAGGGGCTGAAGGGAGAGGGAAATGAGGAGTTATAGTTTAATGGGTACACAGTTTCAGCCTTGTAAGATGAAAAAAGCTCTGGCGATGGATGGTGATGATGGTTGCACAGCACTCTGAATGTTCTATGTCACTGAACCCTACACTTAAAATGGTTACAATGATAAATTTTATGTTATGTGTATTTTACCATAATTTTAAAAATAAATTGGTAAAAGTCTTTAAAAAATGCTGTAGTAACATCCTACCTTATTGTCTTCCTGTAGAACAGCAAGATCAGATCATGTCATTCCCTTGCTCAGGACTCTGTAATGACTTCCGACATTCTCAGAATGAGAATCCTTATCATGGTGCACAAAGGTGTGACCTGAGCACTGCTGCCTGTGTATCTGTGCTTCAGCTCTAGTCACTAGGACTTCCTGCTGCTATTCCAGGCAACGTGCTAGCATGCTCCATCCCCTCACCCCTTCACTTCATTTGGGTCTCAGCTTAAAATGCTACCACCTCAAAGATGACTTCCCAAGCCCCCCTTTTTAAAAGAGCAATTCCCTTTGCTATCCCTCTTGCTTTATTTTGCTTTATAGTGCTCACCACCTTCATGACTTCTTATAATATCATATGTTTGTTTGTAAATTATTGGATTCCTATACTGTATGTTTGCATGTAATTCTCAGATTCCCTGAGGTTCAGGCTGGTCCATAGCCACTTCAGACATCTGCCCTTATTATCATCCCACCCAAGCCTCTGCCATGCATTACCAGGAGCTCTCACTTAGGCCTGTGAACACCCCAGCCTTATGTCCATTTCCCTGCTTCTACAAACAGCTGCTCCAGGCCACCCCAGAACACAGAACTCCACAAATTATATGCTCTGACATATCTGGGTAAGAAGTGTTGGGGAGGAAGAAATCTCCTTTACCCCTTGTGGATAAAATTGCAATATTTCCAGAATCTTTTGCTTGGCCTTAGTGCATCTCCGTATCAATAGGTGATTACAAGGGGGAGCGAGGTTATATCTGGACCAGAGAGAATGGGTGGGGTCCCTTTTTTGCAGCTGTGTCATGAAAGGCATGGGCAAGCAGAAGTGGACAACTGCTTGTAAGCAATAAATGGATTTCTCCCACTTTATTTCTCCCTTTAACTGATTTTGGCTCCAAAGGTAATTTGCCCTGGGCTGAGAATATATTTTTCCCCTGGAGTGACACCTTGTGGCAGTTGACAGGACATCTAAACCTGAAATCTGTCTTCATGGGTGCAACACTTGGGCGGGCTGCCCCTGTGGATGGTGGGGAGGCTCCAGTGGCTACTGTGGTGGGGGGTGATGATTCACCCTTACCTCAGGCAGCAGTGGAGGGTGCAGTTTCACTCAGGAGCCCTCTATCCATGGGGCTTCCACTTGAGGAGCCCCTAGTGAGGAATTGGTCTAGGATAAAGCACTTTCCTAGATGAGTGGGATCTTCCCAGAATTTCGGAAGGGTGGAGACAATGGAACCTGTAGAATTATTCCTCCATGAGATAGAAAACTGCTTAGAGGCCCTGAGTGGCTGTGTAGCAGCTGAGGTTGTGGGATGTTTGTTTCTTAAGATAGTAGAAAGGGTAGGAGAAAGATAACACTTTGGCAAGAGAGAGGCACACTTCAGCATTGGTTGGAGGAGCTGGGCAATGACCTATGGGATGCCCTTAAGAAAGAGAGGCAGTTATTGAGAAGACAGGTGGTGCTCCTGAAATATACGTTAGCAGCAAGGGAGGAGGCAGCTGGAGAATCCGCATTGCAGGAGGCTGTGGGGGAGGGGGCGGAAAGAGCAATGCCTTCATCCCCGGAGATGGTAGAGGAGAGCTGATCTGTTGCAAAGGCCACTGCCCAAGCCACCAACCTCTCCCATATTGAAAGCCTGCCTGGTTGTAATTAAGAAAATAAGAATTCAAGAATCATGGGCTCTTCAGGGGGAGGAGCACCCCCTCAACCAGGTGTGGAGCATCCTATGCTCCGACTCTATACCCAGGATGAGCTGGTGGACATGAGCCGGTTTGGTCAGAAGCCATCAGAACCTCAGCCTACATGGCTTTTGTGTCTCTGGGTTATGATATGAGGGTGGAAAACATTGTTATGTCGGGTTCTGAAATGGGTAGACTGGCTTTTCTGATGACTCAACCTTCCCTCCAGCAGCAGTTACAAAGTGCCCATCACACTTCAGGGAATCCAGTACTTCTA